CACCAACACAAGCTCAATCAACATCAACACCAACACAAGCTCAATCAACATCAACACCAACACAAGCTCAATCAACATCAACACCAACACAAGCTCAATCAACACCAACACAAACTCAACCAACATCAAAACCAAAACCACAACCACAGGAGCTACCGTTTGATTTGATTGAAAATCGGTATAGTAACTGTGTTGTATCATGCATGTGTCATTGTAGTTTTTTCTAACTCTTTTTTTTTACTCTACATAGTGATACATTTATCGTTGTGATCAGTATCCCGGGTATTAAAAATAATGCTGATATAAGTATATTTATTGATGAAACCAACTGGAAATTTATTACAATAACTGGTATTGCACCAACAAAAAAATATATTGTAAAAAATTTACCAGTGGGAGAGTTTGAAGTAAAAATTGATTTACCACATTGGTAAGTTTTTTAAATTTATAATTATTTGATTGATTCAAAAACTGATGAATTATTTTTTTAACAAATAGTATTAATGCTGACAATGACATTACTGTGAATATTGATTGTGGAATAGCCTATATTTATTTTAATAAGCTACACGAAAGAAAAATAAAAAAGTTAAAGATTAAATAGAAAAATTATATATAAAATAATTTTTTTTCAAATATATATATATATATATATATATATATATATATATAAATATGTATATAAAAAAAATTTTTTTTTTTTGATATATATAAATATCAAATCATGTATATATTTATTTTCAAATCATGTATATATTTTATTTTTAAGTAAATAAATACAAATTAATAAATACAAATTGAATTAAACAATATTATATACACTCCCTGGACAAAAGTTTCGGTCACCACAAAACAATTAATTACGCAAAAACGTACATATTAAAACACAAATAAATTTCATCAAATTGTGACTAAAGTTCTCAAGAATATGTATGTAAAATTTCAAATTTTTATAATGTTTGGGAGAATAACAGTTAAAAAAATAAAAAGTTCGGCCAAAAATAATTTTTTGGAAATGATCTCTAAAATTTGATTTTATTTTCAAGATTTCTCAAAAAAAAAAACGCACATAATAACCACACCTGAAATTTTACTTATTTGTATGCAAGTCAACACTTTGTTGGCCACCCATTATTGGGTATAACAGCTTCCATTCTTCTCGGCATACTTTCTATCAAATTCATATAAATATTTCTAGGAATTTGATTCCATTCTTCATGTAAAACAGCCTCAAGTTCAACATTATTTTTAAATTTATTTGGACGTTTCCAAATACGAATTTCTAATTGATTCCAAAGTCGCAGAGCTAATTAAGACCTTTCGAATGAATCATAGATAATCTTTTTAGCTTTGATAATTCTAAAAAATCTTGACTTTGAAGTTCAAAACATACTACTTTTTCTAACCTTTATTAATTTACAACAAAAGGAGCTAGAGAAGAACTTTAACTTGCATTTTGTTTTCCATAACTCAAATAATAGGTTTACTTAGAGGTTTTAAAACGTTTGTTAATGAATCTACAACGAACTTTTCATTGAAAAAATGCACGATGTCGATCGTTACTATGTAATTATATACACTTTATTTTCAACTAATAATACAAAATAAATAAATAAAATAATGTAAATAAAATAATAATGGATGAAGTTAATACCAATCCAATAGAACTTCATGATTATCCAAAACAATCCAAAATAGAATACAGGGATTCTTCTAACACATACCATTACACCATTCTTTCTGAAGGTTACTATCCTCCACCATCCATTCTTGCCAAAACTCAAAAAAAAAAAAAAAATCATTATAGAATACCTGATAATTACAAAGTTGAAGTCAGCTGGGGGAAAAAAAATAAAATACGAAAAATTATATGTTCAATTAATTACATAGAGCAACATGCAAATAACAAAGTACCATGCTTTAAAATAGAATTTGATAAAGGACTGCAAGTAGAATCTTGGAAAAGTGCAACTCAAGCAGCAAATTTATTTTCTCAAGTAGGTATTAAAAAAAATCCTTTTTAATAATTTTAAATTTATTTGATTAAATTTATATATTTTAATAAACAGACATATAATCCTAAAAAAACTTCACTATTATCAGGAGTATTAGTTTTTGGATTACAACTCAAATGTGTAGCATGCAATAGAGATCTTTGTAATCGATCAAGAATACTTCAACCTATTGAAACTCTTAGTAATTCTACAAAAAGGGCTCGGGTAAAGCATATTGGTGAAGGAGTAAAAAATCATGTTGATTGTGAAGTAGCAAGCTTATATCATCCCAATGATAAAGTGCAATTAAAATCACTTACTTTATCAGTTGATCAACAAGATTGGTTTGTAGATTTTGGAGTAAAAGATAAGTTATTAGAAAAAAAAAGAAAGCAAGCATATGTATATGCAATGGATTATGGTCATATATCCCGGAATTCTTTTAGAGAAATAACAAAAATCTCTCCAGAGGTAGCTCGTGAATATGTAGTCAGTGAAGAAAAATCTAATATAGATAAAACAATGCAAGGAGCTATACCACTTCATATTATGGATATTAACATAGAAGATTTTGTAACAACAACAATGAATAATGATGAGATTCATATTAATGATGAGGAAGTAATTCAAGGAGTAACAGAATCAATTGGAAAAGCTGGCTATCGAAGAATACAAGATATTTTAAAGTATATGATACCATTTTTTATCAAAGAAAATATTTTAGACTCAGAAAACCCTTTTATTAAATTACGAATATCTGGAGATGGTCGAAACGTAGGTCGAAATGTAAAGCATGTGATGGTTACATGTTCAATTCTTAATAATATTAATAATCTTTGGGTACCTGATCATCATTATACTGTGGTTTTATATCCTGGTGTTGAGAATTATTTACTTTTACAAAAAGCTTTAGCACCTTTGATTCGGGATTTACAAGATATAAATGAAAATGGTCTTATTGATGAATTTGGTGTGCAATGGAATTTTGAATTATTTTTTTCTTCTGATTGGAAATTTCTTGCCTTGTGTCTTGGATTAAATGCTGCCAATGCAACTTATTTTTGTCCATATTGCAAATGCACAAAAAAAGAAATTGGTTTATATAATAAAAGATGGGAAAAAAAAAATATGAATATGCTTATTAATAATCATTCTTCTTGTCCTGGTCACATTCGTAAGCCACTTTTTCCTATGATACCACTTGAAAATTGGATTGCTGATGAACTCCATGTAATGCTTAGAATTACTGATCGATTATGGGTTTTGGTATTAGCAGAGCTTCGTGTTAATAATGATTTAAGTGAAACAATAAGAAAAACAATTTGTAATGAAATGAAACGAATTGGTATTACTTTTCATTTTTGGCAAGAACAGAATTCACGTGTCTGGAATTATACATCACTAATGGGTGATAATAAACTTAAAGTGCTTCAAGAATTTAATTTTAATAACCTGTTTTGTCAGTCAAGAGCTATTCTTATTCGTCAACTTTGGGATAAGTTTTATGAACTTTATACATCATTACTTGATATTACAACTACTGGGGATGAGTTTGAAAATGAGGCAAAAAAATGGATTGAGCTATTTTTAACACCAACTTCAGGAACAACAAACACATCAGGATTTATTAAAGGGCTTTATAAACCATCTGATATTACACCTTACATGCACCTTCTTTATAATCATATTCCAGATATGATTCGTTATCATAGTGAACTTGGTATTCAAGCATTCTCATGTGCTCCAATTGAAAAAAAAAATCATGATCATGTAATAATTTTTTTTCGAAGAAGTTTAAAAGATGGGGGAGGAAATAAAGCCCAACAATCATCAATTTTAACAATATTACAACAAGAAAATCGAAAATTATTCTATATTAAAAACAGAATACCTTTTATTTTCAAAAAACCCAAACATCTTCATATTAAGTAAGATTTTATTAGCTACAACACATTTATTATTCCCTATAATAAAATTGTAATTTTTAATAAAAGGTCTTTAAAAATAATTAATAATAAATAATTTACAATTTACCTTTGAACTTGATAACTAACAGTGTCTACACAAAATTTCATTCTAATAAAACCAGTAGAAACTGTATGTTGATGTGCATCAACTATTCTTTCAGTATACCATTCTACTAACATTTCAGGTAATTTATTTTTATTATCATTATTAGACCCAACTTCTTGTGATGATGAAATATATAACACTACATATGCTTTTTGTTCCAAGTCGTACCAACGTCCACCCCATTCCGCATCTTGTAATATTATTGATAGTGTTTCACATGCATTTTCCCCCTTGAAAAGACATGTATATTTTCTTTTACATGGTGAATAACGTTGAATCCATGGCCCAAAAACACCAACAAACTGACTTTCACTGCATGGTGCCTTGATTATCTGTTTTCCTGTTTTCCTAAAATGAAGTGATAATCGTTTTTTAATAAGAAATACTAACATTTCACGAAACTTTTGTATTGCATCTGGAGGTAGGAGTGAAAGATTGGATGGTGGTAGTTTGTAATTACTGTGTACACGATTCTCATGTTGAAGGAGTCCTCTTATGCTCTTGAAATATTTTACTTGACATAATGTGCATTGGTAAGGTTTGATTGGCATAATAATATTATTACTATATTTTTGGTATAAGGTTTGTTATTAGCTTCAACATATTCATTAATGCTCATTACTATTACTGCCTACCTAAGATCACAAAAAATTCTAATCGGTTGAGGGGTGGGGTAATTGGTTGGACGTGTGTTTTTATAAGTTTCTCTTGTTTACTCGAGACATTAAAAACATTATGGGGTCAGATGATTGTACACATGACCATAATTCGGGGTTTATTAATATTGTACAATATAAATTTGAGGCTCAAATCAAAGGCAATAAAAGGTCCAATTAAAAAAATTGGCCGATATGATATAAAGAACTTGATTTCGACCTAATGTAAAAGCAACTTTCTTACAAGTTAATTAGTTTCGACCAAATAAATAAAATAGAAATATTTTATTTAAAACTTTTATCTTTAACCAAAATTATTCGCTAATAACAAAATCAATTCATTGATCCCCTATTCATTCTGATCCACACAAAACAAAAATAATTATTATCACCAATTAAAATACACTCTCCCGAATTTAATCGGTGACAATAGTAATAATAATAATGAAATAATAATAATAATGATAATGATAACGAAATAGCAATAATAATTAAATAATAAAAAAATAAGGTTTTCACTGATCACCAAATAATTTTTCCATAACCATAAATAACGTAATTTATTATTATTTTTATTTTACATAAACACTTGCATCAATTATTGATTTTTTTAATGTCAAAATTGTTATTTTGCCATTTATTTTTATTCGTTTATTAGTATCTATACTAGTTTCAAAAATAGTTTTGAACTTTTAAAGGCAATTATAACATGATGTTGACCCGGGTCAATTAAATCATGACCCAACCCGACCCGTTCGGGTCAACCCAACTCGTTTCAGAGCTCTAGAAATCAATATTTAATAATTGGTAATATTTATGCATCTTCACCTTATTGAATGAGAATAATCAATTACTTTGTAATATGAGGTTATTTTGGTTTGTTAAAATAAATCTTAATTTTATTAATTAAAACAAAAAAAAAATAAATGTTCATTCTTGTGTGTAATGAGAGGGGGTTTAAATCCTTGCATGAATTTTTCATTATAAATATCCAAAGGCACCTCGCCACTCTTTCTCTGAAATTGCATTTATTTATAGTATGGTTGGTTTTCAAGCAACACTGGCACTTACCTTCTCTATGTTCTCTCTTTATGTTGGGACAATGTTTTGACTGATGTCCCCTATAATTGCATGCATAACATAGTTTTCTGGTCCAAAAATTATTGTTGTCAGTCAAATATATTCCATCTGCTGACTCTAGTGTTCTTTTCATTGGAGTAAGGCTAGATGCATATCTGGAAAAATAATAATTGGTAGGAGTAGATGATGATGATGATGATGATGATGATGTGTGGAGGGGACTTGATATTGTGACGATGATGATGATTTGTGGAGATGATATGATGATGATGATGATATTGATTGATATGATGATATTGATTTGTATGGGTGAGGCAAATAAGGGTGGTATTTTTGTGGATGTGGTTGTGATGCAAGTTCCTTAATTACACCAGCCATAATTTCTGTTGCTTTGAATACAGCTTGTGTTGTGTCAGGTGTGACTTGCATGCTGCTGGCCAAGGATTGGAACAAATCCATTACACTACGAAATTCAATAATACTATTATTATTATCATCATCATCATTATTATTATCATTATCATTGTTACTACTATCATTACTACTACTAATACTACTATTATTATCATTATTATTATCATTACTACTACTATTACTATTATTATCATTATTACTATTATTATCATTACTACTACTATTATTATTATTTTCATTATTATTATTATCATTACTACTACTATTATTGTTGTTGTTGTTGTCATCATTGTTGTTATTATTATTGTTACTGGTGCTGGTAGTATTAATAATGATGTTAGTGTTGGTATTTGTATTTTTTTTAATTGACAATCTGTCTATGAATCAGTGAACATTATATAGTGATTGGTGGGAGAAAATTGACCAAAAAAACACTAATCGGTAACCTTTTATAAAAAAAAGTTACTGATACTTGTCTTGCAAGATAAATTTTTTTCATGCATACAGATAAAATAAATCTCAGAGAACATATTTTGTTGATTTTTTGAGTTTTGTTATTGAAAAAAATCCGATTTTTCTGTGTAACATTTATTATCTCTTATGTTAGAGTTAGATATATAATTAATTATAAATAAAAAAAATGCTTGTAATAATAACTCCACAAATATGTATTTATGCTTTATCTGTCTAGAGTCACTCCCTAGTAAATCAATAAATAAAAAAACCTTTGTTAATACTAATCAGTGTTGTGACCAGAAACTCTTTTGGCTTCCCAAAATGTTCAGAAAATGAACTTACACTAAGCAGAAACCTAAACATAAACCTAAACCACTAACATAAACTAGTTTCAGGTGGTTTAATGATATTACTACCATTATCAGTAGTAATGCATGTAACCTTATTTTCCAATTTCCAATCTAAGATAGTTTCTTTAAATATACCATGTATCACTTCTGCAGTGTGTGGAAATGGTACATATTGTAATAGTAATAATGCCTTGTGAGGTTCAAAATTAGAGTTCAACCAACAACAAGTTATACCAATGTAACCATGCTTGCCTCTTGATGTCCAAAAGTCGCTTGTTAATGAAATAAATTCTGTATCAGAGTTGATGATTTTTTTTAACTTATTAACAGCATTTTGATAGGAATATTCAAGTAATTCATCAATTTTTTGTTGAGTTGGAAGTTGATAATTTGGATTTAAAGTTGAAAGGAAATTTTGGAAACTAACACTTTCTAATATGTAAAAAGGTTGAGAGTTCTCAATTATAAATTTTAATAAACTACTATATATTAATTTTTTCTTGTTCTTTAATTGATAAGGTTTTCTTTCCGGACATCATATCTCTTATATCAATTTGATTGTTCATTTTGAGCTACATCAAAAAAATTATTTAATAAATTATATATATCATCATATAAATTAATATTTATAAAAAAAAAATTACCACAGTTTTTTTATCAGGTGTAAGAATGTCATGACATTTTAAAAGAATTGGTAGTTCCTGAAGTATTAGGAAATTTTTTTCCACAAATCCCCACTTGGGTTTTGAGAAGATGCCTTTACTTGAACTTGGCCATGTTCTTACACTTCCATCATCACTAAAGTGTTGCCAAATGAAACTCTCATGAGGCCTACCTATAGTTGGCACTGTAATTCTGTAATAATTACAGGATTACAGTTCTAAAAATCCGTAATTAATTACAACAAGAAAATTTAAAACCATAATTCCATAAATAATTTAATAATTTTAGCTACTATAAATAATTTTAGCTGCTGTAAATAATTTTGGTTATCATAAATAATTTTGGCTACCATTAATAATTTTGGCTAACGTAATTCTGTAATAGTAATTGGCTGCCATAAATAATTTTGGCTACTCTCTCCATATACCAGTCAGGATTATTACCAAATTTGGAAATCGAATCTAGAAAAATTGGAACTCCTTTGTCGATCAATTCATATGTGTG